GGATAGGATAACAGTATAATGAATATAATGATATAGTGCCGTGTAGTTTAGTGTAATGTAATCTATAATAAATACTCTTTCCTAGCCCCGCTAGCTGATTTTCTTGCAGGGGCTGAATGTAAGGCCATAGATAATAGATACTCTTTCCTAGCTCTACTGGCTGATTTTCTTGCAGGAACCATCTGTATGCAAACCACCTGCTCTTCCACTGAGATATGGACTATACAGATTTGTCCTTCTCCCATGGAGCAAATCAAGTCCAGGTGTTTTGTTTTGTTCTTTGTCTAATCCTTGATCCTGACTGCCCTCATAGCTCTCTGCTCCCTCTGCAACAAGCTATTCTTCAAAGGCTAAGTTCCTTTTGCTTTCATTGTAATTCTGAAAATTGTTTATCTCCGCCGGAATTGTCATTGATCAATTGCTTTGTTCTTCTGTCCTACAGCTGATCCAGACAGTAAGTGCAGTAGACCAGGATGACCCACAAGAGGGACAGCACTTCTACTACAGCCTGGCTCCGGAGACAGCAAACAACCCTAATTTTACTCTAAGGGACAATCAAGGTAATTGAACTAGACATCAATTTGTTTTGCTAATTAATATCTTCTGAAATAGGTTGAACTGCAGAAGCGCTATTTAAAACTGCTCCGTGAGCCAGCCACTGCAAATAATACCACATGACACCTGCTCCTTAAAAGCAGCCGTGAAATGATGTGTCATTTTGTTTTCAGAACAGTTATAAAGAATTTGCCTCATATTTCTCAGTGCAGTGATAAGGCCTTTTATTTTGAAGAACGATACCAAGGTTGTGCAAATCCAAACCTTGTTCTCATGTTGTGGATGTCTTCAGTGAATAGACTTAGTACAAAAGGTTGTAAACTTCCATTTTAAATAATAAATGGGGGGGGGGAGAGGAGAAGAGATGAACAGATGAATATTATTTCATTCTTTCTTAATCCTGAGCTTTCTCGACAATTCCCCAGAACACAGAAAAGGTCATTGCCTTATTGTTTCAGATTTCCTTCCTTCTGGTGGTATACAGATCCAAAGCAGAAAAAAGGCTTCAGAGAGGATGTGGACACATTGCCACATCTGTGGCACCTCCTCCTTATAGAAGCCAACGCTTTTGCTCGTGGCTCGCACAACAATTCTCTATAGTCCCAGGAAAATATGTATTTGAACTTAAGAGGCACAGACAGGGGGCAATAAGGCCATTATAACCTGTCAGCATCTCCTTAATATCGCCTTAGCGCAAACATGTATTTTCCTGGGACTGCACAGCTGCTGTGTAAGCCCAGAAAAAGTTTCATTTTCTTTTGGAGAAGCCAATAGGCATAACAAATATACTCATGTCCCTTGAAAAAGTACCTTTTCATTTCAGATCCAACGTGACCGCATGTGACTTTCTATGGCAAGACGTGTAGTACAGAGGTGAAAGAAAATGTTTAAAGAAATAGAAAGTTAGGGGGAAAAGCCAAGAAGAGTGTCAGAAAAAGAGTCCTAACAATCAGAAATAAGAAATTAGGCAACTGTGCATAACAAAAGAAATGTATACTTTGCTTGCTTGTTTGTTTCTAAGATTTATTTATCATGTCATGCAAACCATCTCTAGAGAATGTATAATATTAAATTGGTTCAGTATAGTATACATGAGAGCCAGTTTGGTGTAGCGGTTAAGGCACCAGGCTAGAAACTGGGAGACTGGGAGTTCTAGTCCTGCCTTATGCACAAAGCCAGCTGGGTGACCTTGGGCCAGTCACTCTCTCTCAGCCCTAGGGAGTAGACAAGGGCAAACCACTTCCAAAATCTTGCTAAGAAAACTGCAGGGACTAATCCAGGCAGTTGCCAGGAGTCAAGAATGACTCAAAGGCATCCCCCTCAAAAATAATATGCATTTTTAAAAATCATAAAACAATAAAACCAATAAAAATGTAACTAGTGGTTATGAGTGTTGGAGCAGTGTCACTGAGGTGCGACTGAGATACCAAATATTGAGGTAAATAAACATGTTTTCTGATTAGCCTAAACCAGTGTTGTCCAAACTTGGCCACTTTAAGATGAGTGGACTTCAACTCTGGGAGTTGAAGTCCACTCATCTTAAAGTGGCCAAGTTTGGACAACACTGGCCTAAACTGTAATAAGAATCAATATGCATTCAGCAATGCATACTTTCAGCAGGTTCCATTCCATCTCCTTTCCATTCTTCTGGAATTCCAATTTTCCCCCTTCAAATAGGAAACTCCTTGGCTCCTGAGCATGCTGAAGTGCCTTTGGTCTAGTTGTAGTTTCTACCTGAAGATTTCTCTTTCTAAAAACACATTATGTAAACCAAGAGTTTCTCTTGAGTCTGGTGACACCTCCCTCTGTTGAGCGGATGATGCTATTTAAACTCGATAAGACAGTTGGGGAAATGAATGAGCTATTCATGTAGGAAATGATATAGAAATAAGCAGCACCATAGCATCACCTAATGGTGAATGCTATTCCAACAGCTGGAGAAGCAGGGGAAATGTAAGACTTACAAAACCTCCCAAGCAGGTCCTTGAAAATGTAATACTGATTGCTTTAGGACACTTTACTCACAAAATCAGGTTTTCACCTAGCTCCATTCTCTGAAAGTTGAGTTGGCAGAGTTTTCAATTTCATTAAAAAAAACAACCCTTAGCTTTATAAAATAGACTGACCAGTTTGCTGTTGCATTAAAGGCATTATTTCTAACCTCTCCACAACTGGCCTTACCATGTGGTTGTGCAGTTATTATTCTATGCATGCTCAGGAACCCACATGCACAGAAGTTACAGACTTTCAACCCTGTTCAGTTCAGCCTGGAAAGGTTGTGGCAGAGGGTGGACACATATTCCCATGTCTACCCTGCAATTAGAAGTTCACATTTAGGTAACCTTGACTGATCTCAAAATACGTTCATTGGAAAACATTTCAATATGGGGCCAAGAACATTACATGGATGTGTCCTCAAAGTCATGAGGAATCAAGATCAACTCGAAGGAGACTTTATCTTTTCCCTAGCAAGGAACTTACACATTTAGCTATTGCTCTGTAACAGCCTTCCTCAGCATGGTGTACAGGTAGTTCTCAGTTAAAGACTATTTAACAATGGTTCAAAGTTACAGTGGCCTCGGAAAAAGTGTTTTATGACCTGTACTCACACGACCATCGCAAACCATTACACCACCTATTGCGGTCACATGATCATGATTTGTGACCTTTTTACAATGGTAGTTAAGCGAATCACCATGGTTGTTAAGCAAATCATGTCGTCATTAAGCGAATTCCAGCAAAAAATGTCCATTGGGGAAGCTGAATTCGCTTAAAGACCACATGATCGCTTAATGACCATGTGATTCACTTAATGACCATTGTAAAAAAGGTCATAAAATCAGGTCTGGTCACATGCTGACTCGCTTAATGACCACCCCACTTAACCACCAATTTTCTGGTCCTTGTTGTGGTTGTTAAGCAAGAACTACCTGTAAATCAATATAATATAAAAATGATATGTTTTGCCACTTTAATACCTTTAAATGGCAAAACTGGAATTTTTATAAGGGTATAACTTTCAAGAAGCGCAGTGTCTTCTCACATCAGCAGTCTACACTGTATAGCCATGAAGTGCCCAGATTAATTATTTGGAAATTGCTGTCTAGGTTTGCAAGACATTGCCTTGCTGGAACATATTTGTGACCCGTGTCTTCCTGGCTTAAACTTACACTGCTGATGAGTTTGAAGGAAGCCAGCATTAAAACATTTCCTGATTTAGGTTCACTTAATGCTTGGGGTATTCTTCTAAAACAACGCTTCAGGTATAAGACAGGGAGAGAGGGAAAAAACTGGGGAAAATTCTCTCTCTGTCTCTTTTGCCTATTTATTTCAACATCTGTAATTAGGAATGACAAGAGAGGTTTGTTGTCAAAAACAGTTTTCAGGCACATCATTTTTATTAGGCAGAAGAATAAATAGTTCTGATTCTGCCCTTTGGTGCCATTCATTTCAACACTGAGTTCTTTCATTATTTTTAATAGGGATCTCAGAATGATGAATATTCATATTTAGAAGTGCTATAGATTAGAATAAAATAGGACATTAAAATGTATTGCAACATAGTCATTGCAGCCATTTAAAAATATCATTTACATTAAAAAAAATACTGCAATGCAATATTCTGCAAATAAGAGCTGAATAGATCGATTGAAGTGAAAGGGATATAACCCTTGACTAACTTACATCCCTTTAATTTCAATAGATCTACTTTGTTTAATCTGCGCCCAACCTATTATTTGCAAAAACCATCCCAACAAGATGAAGGGCTATAGGTCAATGCTTGGATCTATTTATAACAACAAATATTGCCAAATATTTATTTCAGTTGGTATCTTCTAAGTATAACTAAATTTAGATTCAGTAATGATGAACACAAGAGCCAATTTGGTGTAGTGGTTAAGGCATCAGGCTGGGAGACCACAAGTTCTAGCCCTGCCTTAAGCACAATGCCTTGAGCCAGCCACACCCTCTCAGCCATGGGAAGGAGGTAATGGCCAACCACTTCCAAAATCTTGCCAAGAAAACTGCAGGGACTTGTCCAGGCAGTCACCAGGAGTCAACAATGACTTGAAGGCACCAAAAAAAAAAGATGAACATAAGCTGATGATTCCACCTATTGTTCTCTTTTCCAAAATATAATTCATGAGATCATTTTGGCTTAGTTGGTATATTTGGCCTAATGTATGCATATTGGTATGATACTGTTACTAAACAGCTATTTTCCTACAGATCCAGGTAGAATGTTTGTTATTCACACCAGGGCTGTTGTTATTCTATTAAGCCATGTAATCAGCACTTGCACATTTGTTACTATCATGTACTTGGGGGAGGGTGCAGCTTGTATAAACACAGCCTTCGCTGTGTAAGTATTTCTTAGTAAAAATGACCCAGCTACAGAGGATCCTAAATGAAATGGATTTGGGAGGTCTCTTTTAGAGAAGATTCAGGCCTGAGCAAAAGCCCTGCTGAGTTACCTCTGTCAGCACTTGAGTGAAGGGAGTGCCCCCCTCCTGGTTTTCTTAGATGTCTCAGGGGGCTTCAATACCGTTGACCAAGATATCCTTCTGGACTGACTGCAAGAGTTGAGGTTGGAGGCCTTGTGGTTTTTCTCCTCCCTAAATGGGCAGTTTCAGTTGGTGTGTATGGAGGAAGAGTGGTTGCATCCATAACTACTCTACCATGGGGTCCTGCAGAGCTTAGTCCTCTCCTCCATGCAGTTTAATATCTATATGAATAATACCTATATTAAGCTACTTTGGAAGGTCATCCATCAGGTTTAGGGTGTGGTATCATTATTATACTGATGATACCCAGTGGTACTTCACCATCCCAGAGCAGACCAGGGATTCCACTGAAGTTCTGGCCTGGTGCCTTGAAGCTGTAAGGGCCTGGATGGGTTAAAACAAGCTCAGATAAAATCCCTACAAGACAGGGTTTGTTGGTGATCGATCTAGCATTTATCTTGGCTCTGGATGGGATACAGATCTTCAATCTGGGGGTCTTCCTGAACTGTTTAAGCACCAGGTAGAGGGTTTGGCCAAGGGGCCCTTCACCCAGCTCTGGCTGGTAGGCCAATTGAAAGCCCCTTTGGATCAGAATATTCTGGCAAAAATGTTTTACAACCCCATGATCATGCTCTTATACTCCTGAAAAATGTTTTACATAAACTTGCAGATTACTCAGAAACTTCCACTGATCCAAAATGTAGTAGTCCATCTGCTAGCTCAGGGTAGTGTATTTATTGGTCATCTGGCTAATGAGAGGCCATATAAATTAAGCAAATAAATAAATAAATGTTTCACTAACAATAATAATAACATTCACAGCATGGACATGAGCAAGCCAGTTTCCAAAGGCAGAGAAACATTTGTAACTGAAAGTCTAGAGTAAGTCACCAACAATTGCAGATTCAATATATATGATTCCAGAAGTAGTTATCTTGCAGCAGTAGATCCAAGTAAACATAATATTGTAAGTTTATAAAACTAATCCAAAAACTAGTTTTGTAATATGCGTATTTGATATTTTAATATTGTGAATAAATATTGGCCTGTCTTCCTTCCTCCCTTCCTCCCTTCCTTCTCCAAACTTTAGACAACACAGCTTGGATTTTAACCAAGAGATCGGGCTTTCGGCAACATGAGCAGAACACCTTTTATCTTCCCATCTTAATAGCTGATAATGGACGTCCTGTGCTAAGTAGCACTGGAACAGTAACCATTCATGTTTGCAGCTGTGATGAAAAAGGTCTTGTGATGTCCTGTAATGCAGAGGCCTATGTACTCCCTGTCAGCCTGAGCAGAGGAGCTCTCATTGCCATTCTAGCCTGCATCTTTGTTTTGCTAGGTAAGTATACGTACCATTTCGTGAACAAAAGCTAAATCTACATATTCCTCAGGCAAAATAAGGGAAGCGGCAATATTTGCTGGACTGTAATGCCAATCACCACAGTGATACCAATTTTGGTGGAAAAAAGCCTTTTTGATTACCATTACATATAAAATGTTTCCTGTTGATTTGTCATGTAATTCTCTTAGGACATTTACACTCTAGCTAGACCAAGGATGGACAAAAAAGTAGCATCGATTGTCCTCTAGATCTGCAGGTGACTTGCAGCATAATAGTCAAAGGCTTCTTAGTCCTAAATGTCAAACAATAGTTGCAAGTTTAAAACCTCCCTGTCTCCAATTGCACTGCTTAAATGAACTGCCTGGAGTTGGATTTTGTGTCAAAGCAGTTCCAAATTGGTTTTGATACTGATCACAAATTCCTAAGCAAGACATGTACTGATCATTACTTTTCTTTAAATTCTTTATTACCATATGAGGCATATTTTTTATTTTGTTGTGGTCGATGGACTTTATGTTCTAGTAAAAAGCATACAAAATAGGTTGTGTACACAGCATTAATGAGATTGATAGGTTTCAACATGATGCTTCCTTAGAAGCCATTAGGGCTTGTACATGCTTCTGAAATGATCCAGAAGATGTACTTTGGACCTTGCGTGAGCACAACATCTCTCTGCTCTTCATTAACACTGGTATATCTTCTACTGCAAGCTTGAAAAAAGATGCTGCTGTTTTAAGAGTCACCTTAATTAGTTGACTCCTTAAGCAGTGACTTCTTTCACAGGCTCATGTAGAAAGCTGAGGCAGGTTGAAGCTGGTTTAATTAATAACAGGTGCTGTGCTTCTGTTTGCAGGAACTCCAAAGCACTTGTTCCAAATCTATCTTGAAGCATGCACAGCCATATTGCCCATGCAATATTGCCATATTGTCCATCAGCATTCTGGGTATCTTCCCATAATAAGTTGGACTTCCATAATCTCTTCACTAGCTTGATCTTTTGGCATTCAGCTGGGAAGTTATGTGAATTGAAGTCCAGCATATCTGGAAGTCATCACATTATCTAAGGCTACATTAGATAATCAGCAAAATATTGATACCAGAAGATTTCTTAGTGTAGCCCAGAAACAGGTAGTTCTTGTCCCCACATGTATATAAAAATGCCATGTGTCATGAGCTACCAACAGTGTTGAAATCCTCTCTCTTTCTTTGACCAAGAGATGGGATGATATTAGGGAAGAATTGCTGTCTAAGTATCTGTATCTTTGTTCATTACCTATAGTTCTGGTGCTACTGATCTTATCCATGAAAAGACACCGGAAGCAGCCTTACATGATTGATGAGGAAGAGAATATCCATGAGAACATTGTCCGATATGATGATGAAGGGGGCGGGGAAGAAGACACTGAGGCTTTTGACATTTCTGCCCTGTGGAATCCCAGAGAGGCCCAAGTAATGATGAAGAGCCGACAAGACATGATGCCAGAAATTGAAAGCCTCTCAAGATACGTTCCTCAGGCCTGCACGATGGACAGCAGTGTTCACAACTATGTGTTGGCCAAACTCTATGAAGCAGACATGGACCTCTGGGCACCTCCCTTTGACTCCCTCCAGACCTATATGTTTGAGGGCAATGGCTCAGTGGCCGAATCGCTCAGTTCCTTACAGTCTGTAACTACGGACTCAGAACAGAGCTACGACTATCTGACAGACTGGGGACCTCGCTTTAGGAAGCTGGCCGAAATGTATGGTGCCACAGAGGGGAGTGGGGCTCTTTGGTAACAAAGAGGGAAAGGGCCAAGTACTTGGTATTCAAATGCCGCCATCCAAATGTGTACTCATCTGATATGAGACATTGGTGAGATGGCCTCCTACAAATAGCAATATGATGCTTGAGGGAGAATGCAGAAGAGTGCAAATAAAGCGCTCTCTGGATCAGCTTTATGAAATTACTTTAAGCTACATTTGTAAACAATGATAACAGGAAAGAAAGAAAGGTGGGAAGAATTTCCTGGGAATTGTCTTTTATTTTCTTTTAAAGACTACACACGAACATTCGGTTCTGGATTAGAATGACATTATCATCTCGCTGATTTAAAACACGAGCACACACTCACACACATGGACCACTTATTAACTTTTTTACGTCTGAGTGTAAAAACCTATAAATTTCAGTTCACAAGGGATTGTGTGTAGAAAGCCTTCTCCAGTAGATGATACCTTCCTCTTCGTTTATAAAAGAAACATTTGTGAGAGAATACAGGAAGACACCAACAAAACAGAGGATTTTCTTTTACCAGCGAGTCCATATGAAGAGACTGAATAGCAAAAGACTTGAGTGAAGTGGGAGGGAGAAACAATTGAATGCCCATGTGTCATACGCATTATTACTAATATCAGATTAATGTATGTGGAGTCTCTCTCCTCAGCTTTTAAAAACTATGATTCAAAATTAAATCAGAAAAAAATGCCTCATTTCTGCACTGTAGATACTTCTTCCACGTGCCAAATGTGAAAATCAGATATTACCATAAAAGCCAAATAAAGTTCTAAAATTATTTCATGTCTACATGATGTTAGAGGGCCTTTCCCAAACTAGCCAAGATCAAACGGAGGGAAGTTTACACTGTAGGTGACCTACTTGAACAAATGCAGTATTATAGAGGAATAAATGGATGTAATAAATATTCCATATATAAGTTTTGTATATTTGTTAATAATTTTGGTAATAAATATCATGTACTGGATGCAGTACCTTAGAACTCTTTTAATAAAAGTTAAATTGAAGGAAAAAGAATTTCCAAATGGTCTTTCATCCATTACAGCTAAAGAGCACCTTGGCTGAAGCCATTGCAATCCCTCTTCCATGTTTGTGGTCTCCAACTCGGTCCTCTCCAGATGTATAGGAAACACTGCTTCCAGAATACCCAGCCCTACTGCTGCCTCAGCACACTGGAAGCTGCAGTCTCAACACTACACAATGTCACCTATGGTTTTAATATTGTGTTTCCCACAATTTCTAATCCAGTATCTGGTGAGACAAAGAAACACACCACTCGAAAAAACAAACAAACAGAATGTTAATGCAGCTCATTGAGATTCTGTGGCAATCTCAATGACCGCAATCAATAGCAATCTATATTTGGGGTAGTCCAGGTTAGGGACAGATTGTCATGGAGAAAATCTGTATGGTTGCTAAGAGTCAACAATGACTTGATGGCACATAATCAATCAATTCCATGCCTCTCTGAATTAATCACATGTAAGTAAGACATTCAACACTCTAAGGCAATTTATTTCAACTAGATCAGGGGTTCTCAAGCTGTAGATCACAACCCAGCACTGAATCAGAAGCAACTTAGAAGGAAGTTGCAAAATTTAATTAAAGCTGAACAGGGAACCCTTTCAAAATTCGCTCCAGTCTTTGCTCCCTGCTTTGGTGTCCAAGCCAAAGTGGGCTTGCTTGGGCAAAATGGGAGTGACTTTTGACAGTGCTCACACTTTGCCTGCACAAGCCCACAACAAGCAGAAGCAGCACTGCAAAATTTAAGAACCTCTTATGATATAGAGATTAATTAATTATTAAAGGTCAAGGGTATATTTATTTCTTGCCCAGCCATCCCCAACCGAAATCATTAATTTTATTCATGGGGAAGCTCTTAACAAATTCATTTAGCATTTTAGGAAGCCACTCTTATTGCAAATATTGAGAATTTTTGAACTGGACAAGAGCTGCAATATATTACCAACCCTTAAGATGCAAGTTGAAAAACTATAAACACCTGTATCTTCTTGGATCATATATAAATAATAAACTATATACATGGATTATACATTATACTTGACAGCATGTCTGATTAACACAGTTTCTTTTACAGAAGCAATTTTGCAGTCTTGGGAGCAGCACTAAACTGCAACTTACAATCTGTGTAGTATTTACTTGCATCACGCAAGCAACAATACAAACTCTGGAATGAAACAAGTATGTAATTTTGCATCATATGCGTGCGACAACAATGAGCCCAGAGAGAGACTGTAGCTTTATTCATATTTTTAAAGAATATGTACATAACATTTGTTATTCCAGAATATAGGTAGATATGAGAATATCTCCAACTTGGGATTTCTGATTCCTCTCTGAGCGAGAGAAGCTGCAAATGAATGAATGAAAAACAACAGACAATAGGCCCAGTTGACTGTATGACTATAAGACTTCGCATACCTGGAAGACGCCAACTGGAAAAAAGCAACTTTAGATCAACATAACTGGACTGCAGAGTAGCTGTGTGTCCTACTTCACAGAATATTGTCCTGTTTGAAAGTGGCCTGCAATTGAAGAACTGTGTAGGTCCAAGTCCCAAATCATAAGAAGGGTGAAAAGAAGATGGTAGAATTGGGACCCATCACAGAACTAAGCCAGGATGCCCACAAGACCTACAGTATCTTCCAGGGTTATCCATTCATCACTGAAGTGCTATAAAGCATGCATTCATTACTGTTATTTCAGCACAGTTGTGGTGGGCATTCTACCTTAGCCAATAGACTAAGCAAGTATTAAGATGACTAAATTAAGTATTTCCACTATGGAATTTCTATTTAAACCAGAGATGAGCAAGTGATGTAGCCCCTATACACACTTCACCGTCCACAATGCACTGCACCTCAGATTATGACACAAAATTGTGGCAAAAATACTACTTCCAGCATGATTCTTTCCATACTTTTCCAAAAAAAGAACAAATTGCCTGCCCCAAATGGACACTTGTTTTATCTTAGTCTCCAGTACACACAACCCCACAACCATGGGCAACCAAAAAAAAAAAAAAATCCCCAGCCTATAGAGAAATAACCATCCCTGGTTTAAATAACTATGGATGCTATTCAACCATTTCTCCCAAAGAGCATTGGCTAGTTTTTATACATCGCTCCTGAAAAATGTCTGCTTTCACTGAAATGAGTATATTTGGATCACTAGAAATAAACAACATCCACAATAAGGATTTCTCCCTCTGCTAGAAACTGCATGTGATATAGAATCAGAGCAAATGGCAGTCTTTACATGCGGCATTTTCCATTCACAATGAAATGAGAGAAGACAGTTTAAGAAAATAATTATGAAATATTAGAAATAAAATTACAATAGGCACTGCCCATTCAGAATGCTTAAATTCCCCTGAAGCCACCAAGATTATCTTGCACCTGCACCTGTTGGCTCTTCCTCTTAAAGGCACCTGCAGATGTTCTTCCAATCCATCTTCCAGATATATTGGTTAATTATTATGCTATCTAGAATTCAAGGAATTCAGCTGAACACATCTGGACATGACAGGGAAGTTTATTCTGGTCCATATGGTATAACACATATAATTGAAAGGGATTCATAGAAGAGGTGATGGGTCTAGTGGTTTTTAGAATGGGGATTTTTCCCTCCAAACTATTAACTATAAAAAATTCCAGTTTAGAGAGTAATTACCCGCAAATCCACTGCTGCAGCAATGTCCTTAGCTCCCATGCTTACTGCAGTTGAAAAGGCTCCTTAAATTATTTTTCTTTTTCAAGATAAAACTCACTTTCAAAAATAGCAATATTTTCTTACTATCAGACTGAAATGTCACAACTCGGCCTTCAACATAATTCAGCAATATTATTTTCTTTGTCCATCAAAAGTGTTTATTTTTGTGCTTCTGCAAACCTCGTTTATTATCTGAACACCTGGATCCTTTTCAGTCACAATTCAGAACAGGGTACGGGACGGAAACGGCATCGGTTGTGCTTTTGGGTGATCTCTGGCTGGGCGGGATGGGGGCTGTGGATATACAGCCTTATCCTACTTGAAGTCTAGGCAGCTTTCAATACCACTGACCATGGTATCCTTCTGGATAGACTCAGAGGACTGCGGGTGGGTGGCACAGTGTTGTGCTGGTTTACCTCCTTTCTCCAGGGTCGATTCCAGTTGGGGGTGATTGGGGAGGAGAGATCCCGCCCTCAGCCCCTACTGTATGGAGTGCTGCAGGAGTTGCTGTTCTCTCCACTCAGTATCTACGTGAGGCCTCTGGGTGAGCTCATCCATTGCCATGGGGTGAGGTATCATCAGAATGCTGAAGATACCCAATAATACATCTCTGCTCCTGGCGAATTAAGCAATGCTGTGGATGTCTTATCCTGGTGCCTGGAGGATGTGAGGGTCTGGATGGGGAACAACAGGCTTCAACTGAACCCTGGCAAGGCTGAGTGGCTTTGGGTTTGGGGGCTTGCCAGGTCTAAGACTATGCCATCTTTGGTGCTAGATGTAGTTTCACTGCCCCAAACAGACCCCATGCGCAATCTGTGGTCCTCCTAGACTCATGACACCTGCTCAAAGAGCAAGTAACAGTTGTGGCTAGGAGGGCCTTTGCACAATTTTGTATTGTGCATCAGTTGCACCCATTCCTAGATCGAGGGCCTCTACTCATGGTTGGTCACTCATGCCCTAGTCACCTCCTGGTTGGACTACTATAATGCGCTCTACATGGGGCTGCCCTTGAAGAGTATCTGGAAGCTTCAGCTGGTGCAAAATGCAGAAGCACAGGCAGTTATGTGTGTTTCTAGTAGAACGCATGTTACACCTCTGCTCCACAAACTGCATTGGTTACCAGTCTGTTTCTGAGTCCTATTCAAGGTGCTGGTTTTGATGTTTAAAGCCCTACATGGCATGGGACCAGATTATTTGAGGGACCGCCTCTCCCCGATTACATCTGCCCGTCCCACCAGATCCAGCACAGAGGGCATGCTGCCGGTCCCAT